AAAAAAAAAAAAAAAAAATCTAATTTGTGCAAGAAATGGCAGGCTTATTCTATCTGAAGGCTTCAAAAAAAAGATACACAACATGTAGCCAGGTTCAAATATTTTGGGGGAACCCCCCCAAAAAAAGAAATAACCAAAATAACCAAAAAGTGAAGAAAGTGCCTAAAACATGATACAGCATTTTAGAGCCCTTTCAGATACAAGGCAGAGAAAGGTGTAAAGTAGAAAATATCTGGATCTTCAGTAATTTCCAGAAAGGTCCAATCCCTCAGTTGGCTACAGAGCAGCAGGCAGATCCTTGCTGCGGCTGCTGCTGCTGCTCCTGGGATAGAGCCACTAAGTCTGCTCCTCGGGACACAAGCCCTCGGGCCCTGAGCTGAGTGCACCTCTCCCTTCCCCTTCTCTTTTCCTTCGCTCCATCTCCCACTCCACAAAGGTATCGAAGAGACTTGGCCAGGCCTCATCTTCACTGTAGTTGCTGAGGTCTGGGCCAATCACCTGAGTGAAGTTAAGGAACATGTTCCAAGTGTCCCGGGAGATGCCCTTGATCCCCGAGGGGTTCTCCGTTAGGAAGTTTAGCCATTGGTCCAATACTGGAGGATTGTTCTGGGTAAAGACTAGTTTCCACAGGGCAATGGCTATTTCCCGATGCAGTGACCGCTGCCCTTCTTCAGAGTCCAGGCCAAACTGAAATGTAAACCGGTAGAGATCCTTGAATTTATCCTCTTGTTTGGCTTCTGTTAAGAGGCTAGGGAACCGTGCACAGATCCCATCAATGCTGTCTGCACTTATTGCTTTGCAGCCATCAAAAAACTCCTTCCTGCAACAGGAAGGAAGGGGCACAATTAATAATTGTAAACACTATCATCTGCTGAGAGGCAATATAGCATAGTAATTAAGAGCATGGCTTTGAGTCTGGATGGCCTGGATTTGAATTCCAGCTCCTCCACTAATTAAATTAGTCCTATTTCTTCATCTGTCAAATGGTGAGATTACCACCTAACTTCTAGGGGTTTGGTGAGGACTAAACAAGTTAATACGTGTCAACTGCATCTAACAGTGCCTAGCACATGGTAGACAGCTAATAGTGGCTCATTCATTCACTTACTCATCTTTCCAAAGATGAAACTCAAGGCTCCTGCTCAATGCCCTATTTCCCATTTGGCAGAAGTAATTAAGCTGCAGACTCCCCTCCCAGACAGGAAGTCTTCCTGCTTTCCTTTTGATTCTCCATGGGTTGTTTGTTTTCGGAATATTTTTGGTGACTGCCAAGGGAGATTTTTGGAGTCAAAGATTCTGGATAAACCTAGGTAACTCTGCCACCAGAGGCCAAAGTTCTGTTATTAAAAAATGAAAACTGGGGTGCCTGGGTGGCTCAGTTGGTTAAGTGTC